TGTGTGTGTGTGTGTGTGTGTGTGTGTGTGTGTGTGTGTGTGTGTGTGTGTGTGTGTGTGTGTGTGTGTGTGTGTGCTGCATGGGTCAAACTGGGAGGTACTTCTGCAGTCTATTTAAGAGATGTTTACCCTGCAGAGCACTGCAGTCAGTCATGGCTCGTCCTGTAAGTCAGATGTGGACATGGACTCTGTGTGTCCTTTGGAGTGGGATATGTGTTGCTCAACAGGCTACAGTACCGTAAGTTTCATGAGAAAATTAGAATGTTTGCAGTTTTAAATTAGGGTTAAAGGAAAACAGATTTGTTTTTTAATGTCAAATCAGACACGTGAGGTAACTTGTGATTTTTATTTTCGTAGCCATTACATGGTGACCATACCTGCAGTTCTAGAGGCTGGAGCTGAGACTAAATTCTGTGTGAGCCTCTTGGAACCAGGTGAAATGATGGCCATGACCATCACTTTGAGGTCCCAGGAAAAGAACACAACTCTTTATGAGAAATCGTCCAGCACAGAGTTTCATGACTGCATTCAGTTTCAGGTCAAACGTCACAGTTATTTTAACAAATGCATTCAAAATGTGATGTTTAATTTTTTTAAATGGGGAGCACTGACATTTTGTTTGGGATGTTTCATACTGTTACAAACTAATGTTCTTACAATTTTACAATGCTTGCTGTCACAGGTTCCTTTAGTAACAAACGAAGATGTGCAAACATTTGAGGTGGAAGTACGAGGAAACACTTTTCACTCAGTAGAAGCCAGAAAAGTCATGATTAAAGCCTATAAACCAAAGACCTTTATCCAAACGGATAAACCGATCTACCTCCCTGGACAGACAGGTAACTTTGAGAAAATTGCATCAAGTTTCCTGTTCATTAAACTGTTAACAATATTTGCAGAGCACAGCTTGTATTTCACATGGTTTCCTGCTAATCATTTGTTTACTGAAAGGTCCTAAGTTCACTGTGTCAATAGTTATTTTTTTTAATCACCAGTGCATTTCAGAGTTGTCACATTGGACTCCAAGTTAAGACTTGCCAATGAGCTGGTGAGTATTTAATGTTCATTTTTTCAAAACAACTCTCCTACTGTACAAATAATATGAAGGAAGGTAGTATGCATGATTTTTCCTTCCTGTGATTTGAAAGATGTGCTTGTAGATCTTTTCATATGATTATAGATAAGCAAAATATATTACAAATTCTGTACTCAAAGCTGCATTACGTCTACAACTGTTTAGCTTAAATTGAAGAATCAATAATCCAGGGCCTGTTTAGATAAAGCTGTTTGTGCTGACGTTTGTTTTCTCTGCTGCTGGTTGTTTATTTATTTATTTATTTATTTATTTATTTATTTATTTATTTATTTATTTATTTATTGCATATGCTGCAATGACCTTTTGAAACCATTTTACAACAGTGACATTTACAATAAAATGTGTATTAGTGTCTAGGTAGTGCTTAAAAAACTCTGATGCTTTCTCCAGAAATAAAAAAAAGGTTTAAAAGAGTTTTAGTACATCCATTGGTCCATAATTTATCTTCCACTTATTCAAAGTCAGGTTGTGGGCAGCAGCTTCAGCAGGGAGACCCAGACCTCTGTCTCCCCAGCCACCTCTTCCAAGTCTTCTGGGAGGATTCTGAAGCATGTAGGCCGGACGAGGGACACAGTCCCTCCAGTGTGTCATGGGTCTTCCCTGGGGTCTCCTTTCACCTGTGCATGCCTGAAGCACCTCCCTCGGGAGGCAACCAGAAAGCATCCTTAACAGATGCCCAAACCATCTCAACTGGCACCCCTCGATGTAATGGAGCAGCGGCTCTATTATGAGCTCCCACCGGATAACAAATCTCATGACTCAGTTTGTAAGGCTGAGACCAGCCACCTTATGAAGGAAGCTCATTTTGGTTGCTTGTATCCTAAATCTTGTTTCTTCAGGTATAATCCATTCCTGATGATCATTTGTGAGGGTTGGTAGGGGATTCTGATGTTATCAGTCCATGGAATGGACATTATTCGGCGTTATCAGTCCCATACAATGGCTTCAGAATGTCCCTATTGTGCCTTCTATCCTTCAGACTCTCCCGACAGTGCCCCCTAGTGGGTTAATATATCAAAGACAATGAATGTGTAAATAACCATTTAAGCAAACCATATTTTAATATTTTTTTCCTTGTCTGGTGGAGTTCCTTGCTCTTGCTGTCCATGTCGGTCTCGAAACCTAGCCTGCCGCTCTGTGGTCCGATGCTCTACCCATTACCTTATTAGAAGACCACGTTGTACACCTGTTGGAGGGCAGTGTCTTTGGCGGTGCCTTTGGCGCTAAGCATGAAATTTTCTCTAAGGTTAACCTCAGTGGCTTTTTTGCATCATGTTAACCAGTTTTTATGCCTCATATTAACCAGATAGTGGTTTTATGCCTCATACTAACCAGATAGTGGTTTTATGCCTCATACTAACCAGATAGTGGTTTTACGCCTCATTAACCAGATAGTGGTTTTATGCCTCATACTAACCAGATAGTGGTTTTATGCCTCATACTAACCAGCTGACAATCAGAAGCCATTCTATGGGACAGGGAATCTGCTAACCGGCACAGGCGGGACATTCTGGAGCCATTCTAGGGGAGTGATAACGCCTAATAACATCCATTTCATGGATGATAACATCCGAAGCGGGTGGGGTTGGAATGTATAGACCAGTAAATTTAGAGCGTTGCCTTTCGACTCAATTCTTTCTTTACGACTGACAGAAGCTGTGCCCTCATTACTGAGGACAAGGCCCCAATCTGTCGGTCTATCTCCTGCTCCATCCCACTCATGAAAAATATGCCTAAATGTTTCTATTTTTGCACTTGATGCAAAGACTCCCCCACGACCCGAATAGGGCATTCCACTCTTTTCTGATCAAGAGCCATGACCTCAGACTTAGAGGAAATGAACCCCCATTCCAGCCACTTCACACTCAACTGCAAACTATCCGAGTGCACACAGAAGGTCTTAGCCAACAGAACCTGCTGCATAAAGCAAAGATGAGACACTGTGGTTTGCAAATCAGGCGCCCTTCTCTCCAAGACTGCGCAGTCCCTGAACATCGCAAATAGGATTGGAAAAAAGGGACAACAGTGGCAGAGACCATCTCACACAAAGAACAAGCTCGACTTTGCTCCAAGAATGTGGACACGGGTTGTCCTTAACAGAAACCCAGACACTCAATGCTCCTGCAGTAATATGGCCAAAGGTCATCTCCACAAAACCGATCTAGATTGAAAGCGGAAATTCCCATGACCCCGTTAGAAACTCTGAAAGGGTAAAGGTCTGGACCACTGTTCCACGACCAGGATGGACAACACACTGCTCAGTCCTGCTCCTGAATCTGAGCTTTTAAAATCTATCGGAACCTCTCTTCCAACACCTTGAAGTAAGCTTTTCTGGGGATGGTGACAGGTGTGTAATACTATGATCGTCAGTGGTGGGCAGCCCTAACCCAAAATTTAGTTTTGCAATTTCTAAAGCGCTTGTGAAAATATTTAGGTCCGCAACTTAGTGCTTAGGCTGTGCCATAGAAATATTAGCAGAAGCTAATTTTAGAGCACGAGTTCATTTTGACACTCACTAGCTGGCAACAATTCATGTACAATGTATGCACAACACTGCCAACTAGCAGTGTATGAACCCTTTTGCAGCTTAACTTACAACTGCCGATGGCTGGGGGTGTGATTTCCTGAAACAGAACTTTGGCTCATGGTGTAAAAATTAAAAAGTTGTTGAGGATTGCTAGTTCGGCTGCTTCTTTGTCTTTTTCTTTTGTTTGTTGTAGTTTTTTATTAAAGAAGCATCAATAAAGTAATTTTAAAACTGATTATTGGAAAACTGAAGTGATGCATTCTGGGTACATGATGGATTTGATTTGTGATGGGAAACGAAAGCACAGAGAACAGGAAACCAGTATCTTCCCTTCAAAATAAGAGCTTGGATTTGAAAGTTTTCCATGTTTCCATTGGATTTTAAAGTTTTCCAGTTCACCTGAAACTCATCAGATTGAAGAAGTCTCTTAGAGGAGAGATTAAACGTTTCACTAAAGAAGAACCATCCAGAGGAACTACTGATTTTTTATTTTTATTTTTTTCTACCTGGATTACTGAGATGCATCAGGACAATATAAACTAAAGTAACTTGTTAAAAACAAAGTTCTCCACTTCCACTAATGGATCACAAAGTGTAAATTACACAACTGTACCTAAATTTCAGTTAATATAAAATTCCCTTCAATCCCTTTTCATACACAAGAGTTGGCCTTTAAAATATTGTGATTTTCAACTTTTTAAATACATAAACTTGATAAATATTTAAGTTTTTTTCTTTGTGTTTGCTTTATTATGTTGAAAACTTTGAAAATCAATGATTTAGACCATCTCCCAATAATTTCTACTTTTTTTAAGTCAAGAAAATTATTATGAACACAGTTGGATTTAAAAGATCCTCAAAGAATTTCATCTTTGCTTTTAATGTTTTGGTCCTATTTTTTTATATAGGGGGAAAATGTTTTAGAAAGATTTGCCCACACCTCCTAATTAATTTTAATCTTCTAACTGATTCAATAGAAAAAGAATAACTTAAAAGTATGTGACGTTGTCCCCAAATTACTTTTTGGTTTGGGTTCATTCTTTTAATTAAAAAAAAACTTTGTTTGACAAGCTTTTCTTTCTTTTTCTCACAGTATAACATCATTGAAGTGGAGGTAAGAAAGTACACTTTTTGTTTAGCAAATTAACCACTCAAACACATTAATCTATGTTGTCTCATGTTTAAATGCCCAGCTGTACATTACAATAACATGTATGAAGAGATAGGTAGGACAAAAAGGCATTTGTTTCTGTAGTTGAAAGTATGTCTTTCTTTTAGCAAATGGGTTTGAAATTTCAACATTTGAAGAAAATCACCTATAGTTTTTTTTCTGATTTTTCCTCTTTGAACAGGATCCTCTCAACAACAGGATTGGACAGTGGCTCAATGAAACCTCCAATAGCAAAATACTACAACTTTCTTACTCCTTGAACTCTGAGGCTCGTGACGGATCTTATGAAATCATTGTCTCAGTGGGTGAAAGAAAAACATATCACAGCTTCAAGGTTGAGAAATACGGTACGATGGGACTATTTTTATAAACAAGAAAAGGTCCATTTCCATTTGTATTTAAATACTGTAGTAATGTACTGCATGGTTTTGTTGCTTTCAGTTTTGCCCAAATTCTCTGCAACAGTAAATGTAAAAGATGAAATAAGTATTGGGTCAGAAGAATTTGATGCTGAAGTATGTGCAAAGTAAGTAGTTCTTTCCAAACAGAATACCTGAAACATTTAAAGTAGATCTTTGTTGTCAACTTCACAACTCACTGATCTGTTCTAATTTATTTAGGTACACGTATGGACAGCCTGTGCCAGGAAGTATTACAGTTAAGGCGTGTCGACCTATTATGCACTATTATTTTGGTCCGCAAGCTAGAAGCCCAGACGAAGATGAGATAACTGAGCCATGTGACACAAAGACAAAGGAGGTAGAGTTGTTTGTGTTCAGGTTTGCTAAATAATGTTTTTCTGGGTTAAAATGTTAGACAAATTCTGATCTTCTTTTCTTGCCGCTGTTTCTTGAATCTGACATGTCATGTTGCCTTTCTGTATAAAGGCGAAAAGTACAAAAAGTCTCATCTTCTGTTGTCTTAATTTCGAGTGTTTCCACACTGTCTGTTATCTACATATCTCTCTGATTTTTCTATTTTTGGAATTCTAGACAGACAATACAGGATGTGCTACATTTGAATTCAAAATGTCAGCATTTACCAGAATTGACAATAAGATATTGCAAGACCAATTGTACATCAGTGCCACTGTGGAAGAGGAAGGAACAGGTGGGTCTCTGCTTTATATCGCACTTTCGTTTCATAAGGATAATCTGATTTTTTACATGTTCTGTGAAATAATTAATAATTAATAATAATGACATCACAGAACAGAAAGCACAGATAGAAGGGCAGAGGCTTGGCTAAAGGGTAACCAAACAAGAGCCCTCACATTGATTAGCATTGTTCAGGCTTATCCAAGCACTCAGATTACATATCTGTGTAAAAGAATGCAACAACCGCTGACAAAAAGTATGGAGTCAGCAGTCTTGGATGAGCACTCATTCAAACATTTCATTCTGTAAAACAAACTCAGATCAAAAACATGAAACAATAATGAGGTCATTCCAAAGTGCAACTTGTTGGCTTTCAGGAACACTCAAAGAAATGAAGAGAAAACATTGTGGAAGTCAGTGAATGTTACTTCTATTGACCAAGCACAGGGGAAAAAAATATGGAATCACTCAATTCTGAGGAAAAAGTATGGAATCACTTAAATTGGAGGTAGAAAATAAGGACACACCCAGTCAATTTCCTTTCCCTAAATGGACACCTGCCTCATATTAGATCTGCTGGTTAGTCTGCAGTTAAAAACACCTGCAGTCATGACACCTTGGAGGGCTGCTGGACCAAGTGGAGTGGCAAGAACCATGGCCCCAACAAGAGAAATGTCTCTTGAAACAAAAGAGAGGATTGTGAAACTTCTTGAAGAAGATAACTCTTCACACATGGTTGCTAAAGATGTGGGCTGTTCACAGTCAGCTGTATCCAAGATATGGACCAAAAACAAACAGCATGGAAAAGTTGTTAAAGCCAAGTACACTGGTAGACCAAGAAAGACATCAAAGCGTCAAGACTAACAACTTAAGGCCATTTGTCTTGAAAACTGAAGAAGTACAACTAAACAGATGAAGCATAAATGGGAGGAAGCTGGAGCCAATGTATGTGACTGAACTGTAAGACATCGCATAAAGGAAATGGGATTTCAATACAGGAAAGTTAAAAGAAAACCATCACTGACACCTAAACAAAAAAGAACAAGACTGCAATGGGCTAAGGAGAGGCAATCATGGACTGTGGATGACTGGATGAAAGTTATGTTCAGTGATGAGTCACCCACTTCGGATGTTATCATCCATGAAATGGATGTTAATAGGCCGTTATTAGTCCCATAGAATGGCTTCAGAATGTCCCGCCTGTTCCGCTTAGCAGGTTCCCCGTCCCATAGAATGGCTTCTGATTGTCAGCTGGTTAATATGAGGCATAAAACTACTATCTGGTTAATATGAGGCATAAAAAACAGGTTAACATGAGGCAAAAAGCCACTAAGGTTAACCTTAGAGAAAATTTCATGGTTAGCGTTAAAGACACCGCCAAAGACACCGCCCTCCGACGGACGTATAACGTGGCCTTCTAATAGGGTAATGGGTAGAGCATCGGACCACAGAGTGGGAGACCAGGGTTGGAGACCAACACGGACAGCAAGAGCAAGTAACACCACCAGACAAGGACAAAAAATTTATTAAAATATATTTTGCTTAAATGGTTATTTACACATTCATTGTCTTTGATATATTAACCCACTAGGGGGCACTGTCGGGACAGTCTGAAGGCTAGAAGGCACAATAGTTCCTGTTGATAAGGCAGTGGATGTGGTCTGTGCAAGATTGAAATCAGACACCACTCTCAGCAGCAGAACCACA